TCCCAGAATTCCCCAAGTTGGGGAATTCTGGGAGTTGAAGTCCACGCCTCTTAAAGTGGCCAGGTTTGAAAAACACTGGCGAAACCAGGGCCAAAGGAAACTCGGGATAGTTAAGCACCACGTGCAACTCGCACTTGGAATTACTGTACGGGAAAACTCGCCTCGAATCTAGAACGAAACCAAGTTCTTCTTCCCTCATAGAGGTAGGGAAGATAAACGAGTGGCTTGCATTGCATTCATTTCCGGGTCCGATGCGACATAGGCAACGTGAGCTGGAAGACACACCCTAGCTCCTCGCAAAGCACTGAAGGGGAAGGGTGCTTGGGGATCTTATTTATGCAGAAGTAGTCGTACAAACCCCTTACATGATTTCGTGCGACTCCATAAAGGCTTCCCCTATGATTTTTCCCTTGCCCCGCAAGGTCCATTGGGAACCTTTAGTGACTCTCTCCCCTCCTTGCAAGGCCTACGAGCGAACCTCTTTGGAATCAAGGCAAGAGGCGGTGGGAAAGCAGCCCGCCACGCCCTTCCTTGCCCGCCATAAAAATGGCGCGCGGAGATCACGCCTGTCTTCGGGCGAGCGGTGCGTCAGGAGCGGCGAAGGTGACGCAGCGGCGTCGCTATGACAACGGAAAACGACGCAGCTGGTAAGTTGGGGGGCCGGGCGATCGCGTGCAGCGGATGCGAGCTCTCGTCCCGGACGCCCCTCGCCCTCCAGTAAGGCAGGAAGGGGGCAGTGGAGGCTGCCCCCCTTACAGCCCCCCTCCCCGTGCCCCTTTCTGGACTCCTTGCGTGAAGGCAAAGTAAAGCTGGAGTAGGGGCGGAGTAAAGCTGGAGTAGGGGCGGAGTAAAGCTGGAGTAGGGGAGTGTCTCGCCAGTGCCTACAGGGACCCGCCAGTGCCTACAGGAAACAAAGCACCATGGGGACCCGTTGGGCTTCCCTGGGGGGAGATCCAACCATAATCCCCTGCTGCGGACCTACAAGCAAGGTCTCCCCACCTCAGCTTGATGGGAGCTGTTGCTTTCAGGATTGGGGGCCTCGATTCCAGCCTCGTAGGGCATTTCGGGAGCAGAGGATCCTGGCTTAGTTAGAAGAGGCTGAGAATGAGATGGAAGTGATTAGCCTAGTTAAGCTACAGCTTAACAGTGGTTTGTTGCATTAACCGAGGTTGGTTGGCTGGATGCCCACCATGCCATACCCCAGTGGCCCTAAGGCTTCTTCTCTTGTGTCGAGTTTTTTTCGAATTCCTTGTTTTCATGGTGAGTCACCCAGAGTCACCCTGCGCATTAGGCAGCCATCTAAACCTAAGAAATAAATAAATACATTGAACGAACCGCTAACTTTAATGACTCCATTCGTACAATATTCCAAGCTACTGTCAGGCAAACGGTAGTACAGTATGGTGTATGGATCCAGCAGTAGTGGCTTGGCTGATAAACCGTGGTTGGAAAGTCATAGTTGATTACAGGGTGTGACTCTTGCAGAGAAAGTAGGTAATGTGGTGCTCTCCATGTGTTGGACCACATCTCCCCAAAGCCTTTGCCAGCATGGAGATCTTGCCCGGGAATCTGGGACTGAATAGCATTTGCAGGATTTTCTGCCAGTTGCTCTTTCCTCAGCCTCATTTACCTGGCAGGATTTTGGGGAACATAAGAAAGCATTGGAGAAAAATCAAGTGATAAATAAATAAGGCTTCATTATTATTTGTTCCTTTTCTTCTCTTCTTGTTAGGCTTATAGCTAACCTGTTGATACCAACGGAACCTTCCCTCTCATGGCGGGTTCACCTTCCTTTCATCACATTGATGCACCACCCCCCAAGACAGTCAGCATCACTGTGCTGGATGGTCACAACTTGGTAAATGTCCCCTTTTAATTCACCTTGGAATTCCCAGATTGAGGATCGTCACAGTGGATCTTCTGGATGTATAATGATCATCACTGAATGTTCATGTTTTCAATTAGAATGACAAAAGGGCATAATGCTCTAATAATTGAACCACATATTAATTTCCTCTTTTATTTTCCAAGGTATTTAAAAGCTGGTTACTGGCTTCTGGATTTATTTGCTTTGAGGTTACTTTCTTCTGGGCCCCCTATGTAACTTATTTTGGGATGTCTGCTGCCTTAGAGGAAGAAGAAATGTTTAAATTACTTGAAAGAAGCATTTTCATTAAAACAAACAAACTTTTTGCAGGTTTTATTTAATGGCTCTGAGATTTTGCCCAAACGGGTTGTGCTGGGAAGAATTCAAGATCAAGGAAAGTAGGAAAAAAGGAGAATCAGTTTTGCTTTGGGGGGTGATGCTAGAATTTGTCCCGTTTGGAGGAAGAGCTAACTATTGCTGGTGTCTGTCCTGTAGAAAGGCATCAAAGGAGATAGTCCAGTTACGTACGTGCATATTGAGTACAATGGCTACTTCCTGGGTGACTCCCCCAAAATGGATGCATCTGCAGAAGGAAACGTGAGGTATAATTTCACCACCTCTTTTGAGTGCCATCCTGATGGGTTTCACGGTTTGGACGATCTTGCCCATAAACCTGTGTTATGTGAGTAAGACTACCTCTGCTTTTTAGCTTTAACATCTGGGAAAGAATAGGTCCTTTGTGTTTTGCCGAGTCATTTGCAGGAGGTAAAAACTTCTGTTGCTGCTGATGCGTTCAAGTGAAGGCTTGATGGCCGTTGTTAGGAATGCTTTAATTTGAATTTGTGCACTGAGAAGGCTCAGGAGCCTCCATTGCCCCCTCTGACTCTAGCATTTTATGTCCCGTGACCAGCCTCTGAATAAAACTAAGGTGAAAGGTGCTTTGCATCCAAGCATTACAGTCAGCCTGAATAGACCCCAGTAAGGCAAATGAGTGAACCATTTGTAGCTTATTCTGTGAACAATTGTTAAAATAAATCAAGGCATGCCATAGTGCGTGAACAAGAGGAGGAAGTCAGTGGTAAAGGGGCTACAGCTCCTTCTGAAAAGCAAACCCACCGTAAAGTGCTGCTGCTTCTTGTGTATTGGATTTTATGCTTGGTTTTCCCAGTCACTGTGATCGAAGTCTTACCAAAGGAGAAGAAGCAAAAAGAAGAGAAGGTTGTGTCTCTCGGACAGGCCGTGGCAGACCTCCTCCCTCTCCTGCAAGGTGGGTGAAAGAGTAAGCCCGAGTCAGTCTTGCAACAGGGCAATGCTTTGGGTTACTGCACAAAAGAAAGTCCTGCCGAGCTGAAAGTGTGTAGATGTGTGTAGATCTTCAGCCCACACGTCCTTGCTGTCGTTCTGCATGTTCTCTCACACGCACCTCTTTGATAATGATAAGTGTTTCACCAGCGTTTAAAGGAATTTAGATAATTCTTTTTCTTTCTTTCTTCCAAAGAGAAAATTTTCTTTTTGATGGCCTCAGATTGCCCCCTTCCCCTCCCTCTTTTCTCTGCAGGATTGTGTACATTTAATGCAACGCTTCCCCTGTATCCATTGCCTGGTTCTCCTCTGGAGGCCCTCCGACCAGAAACCAAGGTATTTATTAAAACAACAACAAGAGAAAAGAGACATGCTTTCATATGAATGTCCAAATTATAATGTTTATATAATTTAGTTCCAAATTAGTGCTAATCCCACTTTAGTTAAGTTATTTAACAGCAATCTTTGTGTAGGACTTCACTTCTCAGGGATGGCTTACAGTTTAAGGAAATTAATGTATTATATTTATTCTTAAAGAATTAGTAGAAACTATTTTTTAGGTATAAGATGCAGGAATATTTCATTTTGAGATTTAGGGCAGCATTTCTCAACCTTGGCAACTTTAAGACGTGTGAACTTCAACTCCCAGAATTCTTCAGACAGCCAGGCTGGGGAATTCTGGGAATTGAAGTCCACATGTCTTAAAGTTGCCAAGGTTGAGAAACACTGTCTAGGATATGTCCCGCAACATTTTACACAATGTGTAATTAAACTTTGGAATTTGCTGCCATGCAATGTGGTAGCAGCATCTTCTGAAGGTTGGCCAATTTCATGGAAATCATGGGGATCAGTAGCTATCAGCCTTGATGGCAGTGGGACTGCCTCTGAAGGCTATCTGCTGGGAGGCTTGTGAGCTTCCTTGGGAAGATGGTGGGCCTCTGTGAGAACAGATTGCTGGACTAGCAAAGCATGGCTTATGTTCTTCTGTCCTTGTAAGCTACTGATTAATATGCTGTTTCTAAGTCTCATAATTTGGAAGAATAGAATTTCTCTATGATGTATACAATCATATATCATTTATTGATTTCCAAAGTTTACAGTTATGTCCCCATCAATTCCTTATTCTTCTTTGGAACTGGTGGCCTTTCTCTTTCTTCCCATTCCGTTTTTCCCCATTTGCTGGCCTGAATAGGAGAAGGCAGACATGAGGATGGTATACAGAAGTTCTACAAATCAATAGTTCTAAGTGGTATGTCTACCTCAGGGGGGACTCGAAGTAGTTTAGGTGGAATAGAGGGTAGACTGTTGGAATTTGAATGAAGTCTTTAAATGGTAAGTAGTATAGCAGAGTGCTTATAAATGTAATTGTGTCCTTCTCAGAAAAAAGTAAGCTTTTGTTTCTATATGGGGGACCCAAGTTCTCCGTTACAGGGACTGAGCAATTGAGAACCGCTGCCGTTGGCTGTATCTGTCCAGGAAATTTGCAGTTGTGTCTTGATGGTCTAACTATGTACCATGCAACAGTGTTGCCCTGTCTGATGGGTTGTTTCCAACAGATTATTTCTACTCTATAGTAGATAGAAATAATAGGATGAGCAATCATTTCCTCTTCTCAAAGAAACTGGGAAGTTTTAGTTCTATAAGGGATTGGAGTAAAAATCTTTAGTAAGGAATTCTCAGTAACTCTGATTCCCAGAATTCCATTTAAACTGGCATAAAAGCATATTTGAGTTTCATAGAATCCTAGGGTTGGAAGGGACCTTGGAGGCAGGAATTCTCAGACCATCCTGGACAAATGGCTGTCCAGTCTTTTCCTGAAAACCTCCAGTGATGGAGCACTTACAACTTCAGGAGGCAGGCTGTTCCATTGCTCCATAGCTGTCAGTCAGGAAATTCCTCCTTAGTTCACATTTGGATCTCTCAAGGTAAGTCTTCCACCAGTGGTTCTTGTCTTATCTTTCAGTGCTATGGAGAGTAAGTCCACCCCCTCTGCCCTGCAGCATCCCTTCGTGTATGGGATGACTGCTATCATGTCTCCCCTTAGCCTTCTCTTCTTTAAGCTAAACATACCAAGTTCCTCTAACCACTTCTTGTAGGATTTAGCCTCCAAGCTGCTTACTGTCTTCATTGTGCTTCTCTTCTTCTTCCACGTTTGTGTCTTGGGCATGTCTATCTTAAGCTTGCTTTGATTTTGCAGTGTTCCATCGATGTCTCAGTATCTGTCCAGGAGAGCCTATTGTCTCCAGCGCAGCTGTCCGAAGGCAATCTCTTGAGAGTGACTGTGGAAGTTGCCTATTCTGTCCCTGAGTCATTTATCCCCACAGGGCCCCAATATAATTACATGGTTGGCTTTCAGGTGCCAGCAGTTGGTGAGGTGAGTCAGCTGCTGAAATGCCAAATTCTTTTGTTCCTTTTCTCCAAGTCTGTTTTCTTCACCTTCCAGTCTGGCAAATGCTGCTTTTCTTTTTCAGCATATTCAAAGTGTAGTCTGCTACAGGTCCCAATGGAGCCACATCCAGCTATTGAAAGATGTCAAAAGTTGAGCCCTGTTGCTCCAAGGTTCTGATTTTAACCCTTCACCAACTCTGCCTGATAGATCTCACTTCTCCATATTAAAGCGAGGCTTTTACTACTATTCTGTGAATTTGGATTTTGAGTTTATTCATTAAAGAATAATTCCATTAGCAGATCTCAGCTGATCATGCATTGTGTTACTAACCTGGTCTTCCCAAAGCCTCTTTTCTGAGACCCATCTGAGTCTATAAACGAGGCTACATTGGCAGAGTTAACTGTGGTTCTCCAGATCCAGGTTTCATGCAATGTATGGAAGAGACAAGCTTAGACTAGGAATCAGGAAGAAATCATTATTTCTGAAGACCTCCAGCCCCCACTGACTTATTCTAATTAGGAGAACAACAAGAAGTCAAAAATTGGATTCACACATTGTGTTAAAATCAAAACAAGGGTTTGCTTGGTTTGGTTTAACATGTGGACTCGGATATTACAATTTGCAAACCTTGGCCTATTAGTGATACACAAAGCATGAACCCAGCTGCACTGTGGCTTATTCTGTGATGTGTGAACTCAGAATCTGAGTCCATGAAGGGCAAAGTAGGACCAATGTGAAAATTTGCTCATGTGGTAGTAAACTTTTGTTACATGTAAGCTGTCTCTCCTTTTTCTTGGTAAAAATAGAAAAAAAAATGGGAACCTTCCTCACATAATTAACAATTAAAGCTCCTTGCAAATTAAAGAGCCTGTATAAATGTTGGTTTAGTTAGTCCCCCTTCTGTAACTATTTTAGAGGATGTTTTCCAAGATAGGACTGTGTCCAATTTATTTTCATTGTGTTGTTGTTGTTTAGTCGTTAAGTCGTGTCCGACTCTTCGTGACCCCATGAACCATATTGCGCCAGGCCTTCCTGTCCTTCACTGCCTCCCTGAGTTTGCTCAGTTTCATGCTCATTGCTTCAGTG